CCTAAACCCCTAAACCCTAAGCTTCGCATGGGCAGGGCGAGGTCGATGTCTTCGAAGAGTTTATGAAGAAGTACAACAAGAATCAGAGGGAGCCTTGAAGTTTGAGGGTTTTAGGGTTTTAGGGNNTTAGGGTTTAGGGTTTAGGCTATTTAGGGTTCAGGGGTTTCGGTTTTTAGGTTTTAGGGTTTAGGGTTTAGGGTTTAGGGTTTAGGGTTTAGGGTTTTAGGGTTTAGGCTATTTAGGGTTCAGGGGTTTCGGTTTTTAGGTTTTAGGGTTTAGGATTTTAGGGTTTTGGGGTTTTGGGGTTTTGGCTTTAGGGCTTTAGGGCTTTAGGGCTTTAGGGTTTTAGGGTTTTAGGGTTTTAGGGTTTCAGGGTTTAGGGTATAGGGCTTCAGGGGTTTAGGGCTTTAGGGTTTTAGGGTTTTAGGGTTTAGGGCTTTAGGGCTTTAGGGTTTTAGGGTATAGGGAGTTTAGGGTTTTAGGCTATAGGGTTTAGGGTTGAGGGTTTTGTCAGTGGGGTTCACCTTCAGGGTTTGTTAGTGTTCCCGTTCGGGATCCCGGGTGAGTGTTCTTTGTGGGCTTGGAGTTTAAAAGTGGTGAAAAACCCGAAACCCTAAACCCTAAAACCCTAAACCCTAAACCAACCCTATACCCAAGAATCTGAGGGAGTGCCAGATTTAGAACTGTCGGCTCTAGATCCTAATGGTTCTAGATTCTAGTGCGCCAGAAGGGTTCCGTGTGGGTTCTATAAGAGTTTTGTGTGTTAGGGTTTAGAGTTATGGCCTTAGCCCCTCAAGACTTTAGGGCTTTAGGGCTTTAGGTTTCAAGTTTTAGGGCTCAGTGCCCGGGGCCCAGGGTTTCTGGACATAGGGGTTCAGGTTTAGCATCAGAGGGAGCGGGGTTCCTTGAAAGGCTGCATTTCCGGGTTCGAAGCGGCTCTGCATTCCGCTGAAATGGCTAACAATGTGGGGGTTTCCGAAAATAGGGGACCCTAATATAGTACCCTAAATAGTAGGATCCTTATTATAAGGACCCCCAAATAAGGTACCCTAATTTTCGGAAACTCCCATGTGGAGGTGGTGGTAATGGAGTTGAAGGATTGGAGGGTGAATGGGGCACCCAAGCTTGTTGAGTGGAGGAATAAGCCCTTCTCCCTAGACGTGAGTGGGAGGGAGTACCAATCTGATTGGACTCCCAACCCTAAACCCTAAACCCTAAACCCTAAACCCTAAACCCTAACAAACTTGATGGCACTCCCTGGAGCTGTAGCCACAGTGGGGAGTACCTAAAGCTCACAGGGAGTAGAACCAGATACTTTCACAGGGTTTAGGGTTTAGGGTTTAGGGTTTAGGGTTCTGGAGCAGGACCTCAAAGAAAGGAGGCTGCTAGAAGACCATCATGTGCACCACTCGAATGGGGATCCCACGAATAACAGGTCTGAGAACCTGCAGGCAATGCCTAGACTGCAACACCCGAGGCAACATGCCAAGGAAGGTGGCAGACCAGGGGCCCCAAAAGGAAGCAGGTGGACATGTTCCATCCGGATTCCGTAAGGGTTTCTGAGGGTTCTGCCCGGGTTCTCTAATGGTTTAGGCCTGAGAAGGACAATAGTTGTAGACCCCATACCCTCCTCTTTCTATAGTCACCCGACGCCCTAAACCCTAAAATGCTATGAGGTTTATTCATCAGGGGACAACGAGAATCAGGGTGAGTCCAGGATTAGCTTCAGGGTTTTGGGATTCGGGATTTAGGGTTTTTACGGTTCAGAGATTCATGTGGTTTATTGATTTAGTCAGGGCTTCGAGGCTTGTCGGTTAGGGATTTCGGGCTTTACGGTTGCTTTAGATTTTGAAGGTTTCGGGCTTTCAGGTTTTAGGGCTGTAGGCTTCAAGGTCATTCTAGGTTTAGGGCTTAGAGTTTAGGGTCACAAGGTTGTCCAGGCAGTAAGCAGGGTTCCAAACAGTCTTCAAGCGGCTTAGAGCAGATGTCCAAACGAGAGTAGAAATGGAAGAGCTTACCCTTGACCCTACACCGCTCTAAACCTCTAGATCACAAGAACTGACAGATGTTCGACGTACTTCGAAGTAGCCTTGCACCCCCCAAACCTTTATAGGAACCCTAAACCCCCAACCTTAAAGCCCTACACCCTAAACCCTAAACCATTAACCCCAAACCGTATAAATCCACCCTAAGCCAAAGACAGAAGCAGGAGTTCGAAGTGCCAAAGATCATGCGCGTGCAAGAGATCATCCAGAAGATGGCAGCAGCCCCAGGGTTCTATACCCTCACCTAAGGGTCCAAGTACCTAATAATCATATACTCTCCCAGATAGTAACCTACAGAACTACTCCCTAAACCCTAAACCCTAAACCCTAAACCCTACTATCCGAAACCTAAATACCTGATTGGTGGGTTCTTTGGACTCTTGGGGCTATATTGATTCGGGTTCAGGGGCTATTTTGCTATAATATACCTATACTTTACAATGCTATACTGCTGCTATACTGTACTACTATACTAATACTATACTATACTATACTATACTAGACTATACTATACTATACTATACTATACTATATTATACTATACTATACTATATTATACTATACTATACTATACTATACTATACTATACTATACTCTACCATACTAAACTATTACTATACTGTACTATAGTTCGAGACCCGAGAGATGGCCCTGGGCCTAAACTATGCTCCTCATGGCTGCTTGCGGATCATCTGAGGGATAAGCTGAGCTCTTGTTAAGGGAGTTAGTTTAAGTTACCACTATAGGGATCTACAGTAAATGCTGAGTTCTTGTTAAGGGATTTGCTTTGAGTTACGATAATAGGGATCTCTTTGTAAATAATATGGTTACCTTATATGGTAACTTAAACTGCTTCCCTTAACAAGGGCCCAGTAAATTGAGACCTAATGGAACAGAATCGAATCGAGTATCCTGGCCCGTTCAACGGAGAACCCATGGGTTGATCAAACATCTGTGACAAAGCTAACCCCTGAACCTAAAACCCTAAACCCTTAGGTTTAGGGTTTAGGGTTTAGGGTCCTAAACCCCTAAACCGTAAAACCCTAAACTCTCAGTCCAGTCCAGCAGTTAGGGCCTGAAGCCGTGACAAAGGGCATGTCACCAAGGGACCTGTGGAACACTTACGGGAAATAGGACACCCTACGAACGTGGTGTAAGTTCTTCTCATTATTGGTTTGAGGTGACGGGTAGACAAGCTGTCCTAACACGCTCTGTAGCGTTTCGGGTATAGGATTCTGCGACAATTTCTATTCATAAGCTCTGTAGAGCCCGTATAAACCCTTGCAAAAACCTTGAGAGAACCCGAAGCACCAACCTTAAAACTTCACCATGTCCCTAAGGCTTTAACTTCCTGAACCGGGGAGGGCCATAATTCCAGTGTCATTAACCTGTCCGATGTGGAACACTTCCAGCACGCAGCAGTCCACTATAGAAACCTGCAAGATTTCCGTGCAGAACCCTTGCGCGAACGTGTTAGAAACTAGGCTTTGAAGCAAGACCTACAGCAACCTGTTAGAAACCTCACTACAGCGAACATCAGAAAGTTGAAACACGCATCAAAGATGGTTGGTGCTAGGATGACTTATGCTTTTCGTTAAAGGCCTTAGAATAAGCATCTCTTCCAAGTTTCTGGGTAATACCGGAAAAGAGACCTATAGAGCTAGTTAGTAACAACGAAGACTCAGAAACCTCAAAGGCAGCCTTCAAATCACTGACAGAACCCCAAGCCCTAGACCCTCAACTCTAAACCCCTGAACCCTAAACCCTGACCCTAAATGTAAAACCGCTTAACCCTAAGCCCTCAGCTCTGAACCCAAAACCCCTTGACCCTAAACCCGCAACTCTAAGCCCTAAACCCCTAAACCCTCAACCCTCAACTCTAAACCCAAAACCCCTTAACCCTAAACCCTCAACCCTAAACCCAAAACCCCTTAAAACTAAACCTTCAACCCTAAACCCCAAACCCCTTGACCCTAAACCCTCAACTCTAAACCCAAAACCCCTAAACCCTCAACTCTAAACCTAAACCCCTTAACCCACAACTCTAAGCCCTAAACTCTAAATCCTAAATCCCTAAGCCCTAAACCCCTAAACCCTCAACCCTAAGCCCTAAGCCCTAAACTCCAAACCTCGAGGAAGAGGGCGAAGACATGAGATGCTATAGACCCCTAAACCCCTAAGGCCCCAAAACCTAAGACCTCAACCCGAAACCCTAAACACTAGGAAGAGGGCGAAGACATGAGATGCCCAAGCCCTAAACCCTAAACCCCTAAGGCCCTCAACCCTAAGCCCTCAGCCCTAAACTCCAAACCCCAAGAACCCTAAACCCTAAACCCCAAAGCCTAAACCCTAAACCCTAAACCCTAAACCCTAAACCCTAAACTCAAGGAAGAGGGCGAAGACATGAGATGCTGGAACTTCGATTCCGAGTCGCTGCCCTCAGTTCTACTGGGAGTCCTTCGGTTGATGATCTACCTAAGCCTTGAGTTTTAGGGTTTAGGGTTTTGGGTTTGGGGTTTAGAGCTTCGGGTTTAGGGTTTTTGGGTTTTGAGCCTTGGGTGTAGGGTTTAGGGTTTAGGGTTTAGGGTTTAGAGCTTTGTGTTTAGGGTTTGGGGTTTTGGGTTTAGGGTTTAGGGCTTAGGGGGTTGATGATATACATCCTGCAAAATAAGGAGGAGGATGATGCTACATTACCCATAACCCAAAGGCTCCAAATAGACTACCATAAGGAAGTAGGTCCCAAAAGACCATCCTTGTTGTGGCTTTAAGGGCCGAATTCCACAATAGTAGTATATATGGAGCCTCTATGTCATAAGGAATATACCATAATTCCCATAGTTTTGGGTCCTTAAGGTAATGAAGGATTTTTATCACCGGCAGTATTCACGGGCCTTCATGGAGTTTAAGGGCTTGGGGTTTAGGTTTTTGGGTCGTAGGGGGTACAGGGCACTAGGGTTCAGGGTTTAGGGTCTTGGGTTTCAGGGTTTAGGGTAGTAGGGTCGCAGGGTTTATGTGTTTAGGGGTTTAGAGTGTCAGATCTAGGTATTAGGGTAGAAAGGATTTAGGGTTTAGGGTCTAGACTATTAGGACTAGGGTCGTCAGCTATATCACACCACAGTTGCTGCAAATAAATAAGGTTACAACAAGCGTAGCATTGTTTACTATTTGCCGCATATTCAAACAATTACTAGATGGGGTTTGGGGGTGTTTTCCCTATTCGTGATTGCAAGGAGATACTATGAGCACTTCCCCTGATCTTTTGTAGGGGTCTCAAACGGTCCCACACGGCTGATGAGGTGATAGGGCACACAGTAGAGGGATTAGGAGCTAGCGCATAATTAAGGTTCAGCATTTATAGAGTGTTTTGGGTTAAGGATGTTTGGAGGCTCGTACTTTTGTGTTCGTTGCTTACAGGCATTCTCCTGGCGGTGTTGTTGTAACGTGCGGCATAAACACCTGAGCCCTTTGTTCATCCCAAAACCTCAAACCCTAATTACGCACGAGCCCTCAAGCCCTAAACCCAAAACCCTACACCCGAAACCTTAACCCCCAAACACCTAAACCCTACACCCGAAACCTTTGACTAACCCCCAAACCCTAAACGCTACACCTTAAACCCTAAACTTCTTAACCAGGTACCTGAGCAATACCCTTTTGCCCTCTTTATTTCGGGGTCTCCTTCTTAAACCGTCTAGAGGGGCAAAAGGGTAGCCTTATTATTTAGCGGTGACTCCCTAAACCCTAAACCCTAAACCCTAAACCCTAAACCCTAACCCTAAACCCTAAACGCTAAACGCTAAACCCTACACCCTAAACCCTTATTTAGCGGCCACTCCTAGTTAGACTCAGCACTCTGGCACTCGCGGGTTCGTCCGCCTTTGATGTCCACGGAGATCTCCCCATTTCCAAGGTCGCCAGTCTGCTCGGCGGTGTAGGGTTTAGGGTTTAGGGTTTAGGGTTTAGGGTTTAGGGTTTAGGGTTTAATGTAAGGGCCTTAATTGTTAGAATAGGGTTTTGGGGATATCATACTATAATGACAATAAGGAGCCCCCAAAACCCTCTTTTAATTATCAAGGCCCCTACATTATAGGGCTTAAGGATTTCAGGGTTTGGGTTTTAGGCCATATTATCCGACAAGGTCCCGGAACATACGATACAATAGTGTACCCCTAAACTCTATTCTCATGATGAAGGCTCTACGTTGCGTGAGGGAAGCGTTTGCCCATACTGACTTACAACAAGCCAGACATGTTCTATAAAACCCTGAACCCCAAACCCTAAACTAAACCCTAAACCCTAAACCCTAAACTAAACCCTAAACCCTAAACCCTAAACCCTAAACTAAACCCTAAACCCTAAACAATAAACTAAACCCTAAACCCTAAACCCTAAACCCTAAACCCTAAACCCTAAACCCTAAACCCTAAACCCTAAACCCTAAACTAAATATCTCACACCTCGGCTTTCGCTGTCAATCCGCAATCACCGTTTCTAGAACTCAACGTTTTCCCAAAGCCCGATAGAACCCAGGGACCCGAGTAGCCCCTTTTAAGCCGTAAAGCCCAAAAACTCTAATACCTCAACGTCAGTGGTAGAACCCCCGTGCCTATAGGTCAGCAGGATGTTTTCGACTTTTAGTGGTTTAGGGCTTAGGGTTTAGGGTTTAATGTAAAGGCCTTCATCATTATAATGGGGTTTTGGGGATATCAGACTATGATGACAATAAGGAGCCCCCAAAACCTTGTTCTAATTATTAAGGCCCCTACATTAGGGCTTAAGGGTTTTAGTGCCCTAAACCCTAAACCCTAAACCGTCTGAGGTTCGACCCGATGGCGTTCCAAGTCCTCTGCCACACGCTGCGTCAGGCAGGTTTAGGGGCGTTTAGGGTTTATGGCTTAGGGTTTAGGGTTTAGGGTTTATGGGGGGTGATAGTGCCCAAAGCGTCCAAGAAACAGTCCAGTATATACTTATCATGGGGCCCATGCAGATACCTCCTAAAGTACTTAGAAGGGCCTACTATAGTGGTACATGGACGCTTTGGGGTGTATTGACGTGGCCCACAGGGTTTGGAGGTTTACGGGGCTTATACTGCTTGAAGTGCTTATAGGGTTTATAGGCTTTAACTAGCTGGGTAGTTCTCTAAATTAGGGTCCCCTTTTTGGGTCCCCAACATAGTACGGCACCCTTATAAGATGGACCCTGGAAGGGATCCGAATTTAGGAAACTACTTATCTGGAGAGTAGCCACTCTGTCGTTCCGCAGCTTTAGGCTTCGACTTAGGACATCTTGGGTGCATGGCAAAACGATGCTTATGCTTATGCTTGGGGTGCAGGCTCTAGGTGAGTTTAGGGTTGAGGGTTTAGGGTTTAGGGTTTGGGGTTTAGGAATAAAAAGTTGACAAATAGCACACCAGGACTAATCATCATAGCCTCAAAGCTGAGTCCTTGTTTATGACCTTGTTTATGCCAGCACTGAGCATCCCCAACATGCATACCACAGGTAGTTTGTTTGTTTTCTGAGGGAGGGTGGCGAAGTGGCTCCACTGGCTTCTAGAGATTGAAACTTATTATTTGTCAGGTGCCCGTGTATCACCAAACCCTGCAAATGGTAGGGCATGGCCCCATAATCAACTTGCCGGTGGCCCCCCGAACCAGTAGGTTATTACCGGCTATTGCCCTCAGGCTCCATGTAAGTACATACGATCTAGGCACCTGCAACCGTTGAGTCACAAGCACCGGTACATACAGCTTAATATATAAACCCTAAACCCTAAACCCGAAGCCCTAAAGGCTTAACGAGAGTCTTCGCCAGAGGCCGCCTACAACGATATCGAGGCGATTCGCTTGTGGAAGTGTGGCGATGGGGACAAGGCCCGATGCTGACCGATGCCCTACTTAGGGTTTTAGGGTTTAGGGTTTTAGGGTTTAGGGTTTAGGGTTTTAGGGTTTAGTATTTAGGGTTTTAGGGTTTAGGGTTTCAGGGCTTAGTGCCTACTTGGAGGTTCATGGTTAGTTACAAGCGGGTTTGCAAGTAAGGTAGCTGTAGTTACAGCCCACATGAATCCCCTTCTAGCCTAGTACAATAACGCTATAAGCTGCCCCGAGCCTAATTGGTTGACCCTTAGGGGTTCAGGTACTGCAGTCTTGGGACGCACTATGGTTGCCAAAGCTTTAGGGTTTCAGTGTTTTAGAGGTTTGGGGTGTGGGGTTGTTTGGGGTGTGGGATTTAGGGGTTTGCAGGTTTCGCGTTCTGGGTGGCCGATCACGACCTACTATGTTGGTTTTAGCTCTTGAGCGGATCACTTGGATAATCAATGGTACGGTGGAAATAAGCAGTCGGTGTAGAGGTACGGTAGCCGCAAGCTGAAACTCAGTTGAATGTAGATGCAATGTTGGGAACATCTGCAGGGCCACCGGTACTATCGCGGTCGGAATACCTGGAAAAAACCGTTGCCTAAACCCTAAACCTTAAGTCTAAAGTCTAAACCCTAACCCCTCCCCTAAGCCCTTATTCCCCTTAGACCCCTGCGGCGGTCGGCGCTTGCGCGGTGCAACGACTCATGGCAAGCGTGCGCTTTGCTTTTGAGTCTGCCTCTGGACTCCCCTCCACCCCAAAACCCTAAACTCTACCCCTAACACTATTAGGGTTTAGGGTTTAGGGTTTAGGGTTTAGGGTTTAGGGTTTAGTAAACCCTAAACCCCCCCACCCCAAAACCCCTAAACCCGACCTGAACCCCCAAGAGCCTACCCTTTTTAAGGTCTCCTTCTGATGATTTCCATATAAAAGTCCCCAAAGAGGTAGGCAACCTGAGGTCCCAAAACCCTGAGCCCCTTAAACCCTATATCCAAACCCCTAAACCCTAGACCCTAAACCCTAAGGTCGGTTTAGGGTTTAGGGTTTAGGGTTTAGGGTTTAGGGTTAGGCCCTATACCCTAAACCCTAAACCCCAAGGTAGGCCCTATAAACCCTACTAGACCCCTGAGGCCCCCGATGTTCTAGGAGTATTGAGGCCACAAGGAGCCCGAGCACAGGTACAGAGCCCAAAAACCCAACTCCTGGGTTCAGGGTTTAGGGCTACCTTGGTGTGGTTTAGGGTTTAGGGTTCAAAGTTTAGGGCTACCTTGTGGGGTTTAG